AAATAATCGATAAACCTAATTAAAGTCGTAATAAACAACCAGCGCATAATTTTATGTTACGATGTAAACTTATATTAAAACTTTAAGAGTTAAAAATTATAAAATTTTAAAGATGTAAGATTAGATCATTAATATAAAAATATCAAAAAATATTTAAACTATATGAATATATATAAAAATAAAAAAATTAATCGTATTCTAACATATTATCGGTCCATCTCTGATAGTAATTAACCAAAGGGTTAAAATCAATTGAGTCCATAATTTTTTACACCTAATTGAATTCTTAAATCGAGAAATCAAATCAATTAGTCTTCGAATCAAAAAAATTAATCAATTTTGACAGTTAAATCCTAATAATTTTTTAAAAATATTATTAGCATATAAACACAACGGCTCTACAATGTAATTCTTTTTTATTATTATTTAAATACAAATTTAAGAGAAATTTATTAAAATTCTATTTAAAATATTAATTTTATGAAAATATCACATGACAACACTATGACAGAACATGTAATACCAAAACGTTTAGATTTAACAATCAACATCGATTAAAGAGCTGAATTGATAAATATAAAAGCTTAATCGAGTATAAAAAAATTAAAAACTTCATAATATTTTTAAAAAATTATATAACCTTTTAGGGTTGTAAACGAGTCGAGTCAAATTCGAGTATTGTTGAGTTTGAGTTGGCTCAAAAAACTGTAAAATAAAGCTTGAGTCAACTCGAAAATTTGCAACCTTAACATTTTAAACTCGAATTGAACTGGAAATGATGATTTGAAGATCGAAAAAGCTTGAAAAAAAAACTTAGACTTGACTCAGTTGAAGCTCAAACTCGAACTCAAGTCTGAGCCTTAAATACATAAAATCTTATATTGTATTTAAAAAAATCAACATATAAATGTTGATATTATTCATAATTTATTTTTTAAATAAAGTTTTTAATATATTATTTTTTGAGTTGCTTGCAAGTTTTTAAAATCGAGTATCAAGTAGTTTATTTCATGTCGTTAAGAGCTCGAGTCGAGTTCGAGCACGAATCAAGTCCATTCAAGTCGAGTACTTATTAAACTTTGATCGAGTCGATCTAATCTTACACCCTTTAAGTTTTCTTTTTAAAAAAATCCCTTTAATTTTGGCAGCAGTTAGAGGCTCTTTAAATTTTATTAAAAACATTTTGGTAATCAGTATTCAATTACAATTAAAGATTATAGATGGATACAATTAAACATTTGGTAAGCTGTCCTCATTCATGATGTTGCAAAATTTGCACTCTAACAATGCAAATGAGAATAAAGCCTTATTTGATACATATTTAAACGATATAAAATATTAAAATTTTGACGTTGTGAATAAAATTATGTTGAGATGATCGTTCCACAACAAATAAATCATGACATATGATACGAATATCTAAAACTTTTTTATATTATTTTTTTGATCACAACACTTACGATATCGACATTCGATACAATCTAAAATATTGATAATATTTTATTCGAACAATAAATCATGACATATGATACGTATACACGAAATAAACGAGATATAATAAAACACCAACCATTATTGAATCGTGAACGTAGGATAGTCCGTGTAGAGAGCACTTAGAGTAGTAGCCAATGTTATTAAAATCGGATCGGACCGGCCGGTCCGACCGGTTGAACCGTGAACCGGTGGCCTGTCCGGTCCGATTAATTCCCAAAACCGATAAAGAACCGGAAGAAACGGCTGAGAACCGGAAAAATCGGTGTGAACCGCCAATTCTCTTTTTTTCTTTGAAAAAAATTAAATCAAACGACATCATTTGTTAAACAAACCAAGTCGAACTCGAGTATTGCTGAGCTCGACTCAAACTCGAAAACTTTAAAAGTAAGCTCAACTCGACTCAAAAACTCACGAGCTAAAAATTATTAAGTTCAACTCGAACTCAAAAAATAATATTGAAACTTGAACTCGAAAAGTCTCGAACTCAACAAAAAATTAGAAGCTCGATTAAAGCCTGAACCAAAAGGCTCCATGATTTTGAATGTCAAATTACCTCTAGTATTTATAGAAGTCAGTTGAGATGCTCTTTTATGTTTCTTAGCCTTGTGAGATTGTTTTGTTCTCATATTTTTACTCTTTAGACTTTTGGGATGTTCTTCTATGTTTCTTAGCCATGTGAGATTTTTTTTTAAATTAAACCAAACGACATCGTTTGTTATGATTTTTTTCAGTCCCAAATTTATTTTTTGATTATAATTATATTTATTGTTTAATATGTTTTACCTTAAATATTATGTTGTAGTTGATTTAAATCATTTTGTTTCACTTGATTTTATGTTTTTTTATCATATATATGTTATTACTTGTGATATTTTTATACCTTTTAATATTGAAAAATTAAAATAAAAGTGTTTTATATATTAATATTACTTTGAATATTATGTAAAATTAAAAAAAATATTATTTTATATAAAATTCGATTGAACCGCGATTGAACCAGTGAATCAGTATTTTCACCATATAAAGGTTCAGTGCAGTTTTAAAAACACGGTAGTAGCACATGGATGATGGAGAGAGGCCAGCTAAATGTCATTGTTTAATGTCCCACCAATTTCCCCTTAATTTTCGCATCCACACCCGCCGTTCCATTTCCCCTATGCCCATTTCTAACCCTATGCTACCCTTTGTTCACAATTCCTCTTTATTTTTCCATGTATTTATGATGCATAATTCATACATTGTTGAATGATATTTAATAATATTTTTAATTTTTTAATAGTATGTTATTATTTAATTTATTAGTAATGTATAGAATAATATATTGTTTGCGCATCAAATACAAATCTTATAATTATTAAACTCGATAGAAACAACCGTAAAAGGAGAAAAAGAAATTAAGGTAGTATGTATTCAAAATTTTATTAATCAATTGACAACGCACAGATACTCTGTAGACACAACTACTCCAATCCAATATCTCTGAAAAAAATGACATTTTCTTTTACCACTAAGATCACTTGATAGTTGATAAGTTCACGTTTTTAATTACTCATAAATAGCACACTAACTATTTTAATTAAAATGTTCGACATTTTTTTTATAAAAAGGTCTCTTCCAACTCATCATGCTAACACGACTATTTTATCGTGGATGTAATATTTAGAGGTTATATCATACAATCTCAAACTATGACTATTAATTTGAACAAGTCTCAAAATCTTTGAATATTTTAGTTTCATCTCCAAATTATAACTTTTATTTTAAATTGGTTCATATACTTTTTAACATTACAAATTCATCTCTAAACTATGGACCCTCAGCCTATATTGTTCTCTAAATTTTTTAATATTCCAATTTCATCCCAATCGTTTGAAAGATTTTGGGGATATTATTAAAATGTTCAAAAGTTTGGGGATCAATGTAGAATACAAGTCACAGTTTAGGGATAAATTTAGAATATTAAAAAATTTGAGAACTAATTTAGAACGAGAGTCATAATTTGAGAATTAAAATATAACAGTCAAGAGTTTATAAACTAATTTAAATTGAGAATCATAGTTTAGAGATATATGATATAATTAACTCTAATATTTATAAAAATAATTCATATTATTGTTTTAACTGAAATAGTTAATGATATTATTAATTAACAAAATTAATGACTAAATTGTGCATCAAACATACTTTAAATGGCTATTAGTATACTGCAACAATGTGAATTTATAGCTTTTGCTTAGAAGACACGAAATAATCATTAGTTTTATATACAAATTACATGATCAGATAGTACTAGTGATTTTAAGTAATGGGTATGGTAGAGATTAAGTGGACCGTCGCACGAGGGAATCTTAAGCTGAAAAGCTTACACATTTATCTTGTTTAGAACAACGAGGAAATGGAATTATAGAAATCCGAATTTGATTATATATTTTGAAATCAATTTTAAAATAATAAGATTGATCTTATATATTTTCTTTAAAATTTTCGAAATATATAAAGTAATCACTTAAAAATAAAAAAAATGAAGAAAGAGTTAAAAATTTAATCAAACAATTCATACAAATAATAAATATTTTTGTCGATTTTGAATGATAAACATCATCAATACAAACATATAAATATATACAATAATGGTACGAACCAAGTAACTTTAGTAGTTAAGAGACTTATTATTATCCCTTGAGTGTCAGGTTCGAACACCTAAATGTCTAGAGTCTTAGTGTTTATTATTAAATGATTGAGAGTGTATGAACAAAAACCGCTTAGTATTTATCTCATATATATATATATAACAATGATACTTGTTAATAAAGTGGTATTGCCACAACTTAATCATGTCCTATCTAGAATGGTTATGAACGAATATCAATATTCAATTCGATGATGCAAAGTCATATTTTAATTTATAATATGAGATACTTACACATAATATCTCTAAACTATGACTCATTTTAAATTAGTCTATATTAGTCCCAAAATTATACATCATTCAGAATTGATACTTAAACTTTAAAATAATTTATATTAGTTTTCAAATTATCATTATTATCCAATTTTGATTTTTTCGTTAACATATCATTAACTCTATATGCAAAAAGAAACTAATATGTTATTGAAAGTTGTGAGAATTGAACTTGTGAACTTCTAATAAATTTTCAGGACTTTCATAAATAAATTTCGAAGATCACGAGCTCAATTCCCAATTCATTTATAAATAAATTGATTTTTTAGAATATCATGAGTATAAATTCTAACATCTTCAAAATAATATTGATAATTTGAATACTGATATATAATATTTTAAATTTTAAGCACAATTTAGAACAAGAGTAATATTATAATATTAAAAGTAGTCTCTCTCTCTCATGGAAGGGGCCACAATCATGACCATCTCCCGGTCCCATCTGCAGTTAATTGAGTAGAAATATTTTAACAAGTGAAAAGTTAAAACAAATCTATTCCCCTTTCTATATAAACCATTTAATCATCATCACATTTCCCTCATAAGTGACCATCTCATCTTTCCTCTTTAGCCATGGCTTCCACACCAAAACTCCTCTCTATTATCTTCCTCCTCTCCCTCTTCTCCATCCAAATCCATGCCAGAGAGTTCTTCAGCAAAATCCCAAGGGAAAACAACAATGCACAAGAACCCACCGTCTCGGTTCCCAACAAAGAAGAGCCGAGCTTCACACCCCAGACCCAGAATGGCTACGGCCTTTACGGCCCCGAAACCAACACTAGAGGAACCTATCAACCCTATGTTACGCCTGTTAAGTTCCACCCCGATGAGCCCTACAACATGATCCCAGAATCCAATAACAACAACAACAAAGATAGTTACTTCCACAGCAAGAGTGCCGACCAGAGCACCCACAAGGAAAATCTTGGTGAAGCTCGGTTCACCGAGAAAGGATGGAGCACCGAACAAAACCACAACAACTATTACAATGGAAACAACGAAGAGGACACTTTCACTGAGAAAGGATGGAGCGCCAAGGAGAACAACAACAACAACTACTACAATGCCGACAATGAGTACAACAAGAATGCCTATGGAGAAGCCATGTTCACAGAGAAAGGATGGAGCACCAAGGAGAACAGCAAGAACAACAACTACTACAATGGCGAGAAGCAAGGCATGAGTGATACTAGATTCTTGGAGAACGGTAAGTATTTCCATGACATTAGAAACGAGAATAATTACTATCCGAACCAGTTCGAGAGCTCGAGGGGATTCTCTTCCAGGAACGAGTTCAATGAGAATCGTTACAAGAACATGGGAAGGTACAACCAGAACCAAGAGGAGCTCGAGGAGAACGAGGAAGAGTTCGAGCCATGAAGGAGGGAACTGCTTGATTCTTTTTTAATTAAATCAAAAGTATGAAACTTTACTAGTAAAGAAGACTGAAGAAGAAAGAAGATTATTTATTGGGTCTTGTGTTTTTCTTTGTTATTTTCAGGGTTTGAAACTTTGCCTTTGATGCAGATATGATATGCTTTTCATTTCTTTTACTTTATCAAACAATGTATTGAATAAAAATGTAAGTATGTTTCCATTTTATTGTTCTTCGTTTTTCATTTTCGATCATATTAATCGAATTATATTCGAAACCGACTTAACCTAAAGTCAAATCGACAGTGATGGTTCATGATTGTCATCAAGCATAATCTTGCCAAAAATCTTATCTTTCATGAATATGTACAACTTATGAGTGACATTTCTGGATCTTTTCTTGTTGTCTTCTTGTTTATGAAATCCCCGCATCCTCAACTTCCCACCCATCAACGTACCTGTAGAAATGTGTAATGAGGTAAAGATAACGATCCACGAATCGATCTGTAATATAGAATATTATTTTTCTCATCCGTAAAGTTCGGATTCGACTTCCTTCCACCCATGTATGAGTGGGACTAGTGATGTTTACTGATAGTGCTTTCTCCGGCACTCCGCTCAATTGCTGAATTTAAGATGCATGTTTGACACTAGGCCACTTTGATTTGTATCCAACTTGCACAGAAAAATTGAAATTTATTTGAATCAAACTCGAAATTTAAACTTCGAACCTCGAAATTCTTAATACATTAATTGTTTAGTCCACACAAGCTATGCTTAGGTGAGGTTTGTTGATTTTGTTAGACTTTCAAAACCAAAACTAGAAAAAGTAAACATGATTACCTTCTTTTTCTCGGCTGTTACTCTCCGTCGTCCTTAGGCAACTCACAAGTGGTCCTAAATTAAACAATGAAATAATAGCCTAGACGAGCCAAATTAGGGTTTTAATCCCTTTTATACTATAAAATAAGTAGTAATTATGTAATTTGTTATACAAATTAGCTTTTAGGTTGAGGTTTCTCGTCAAATTAATCACTTTGACTTAAAAATGATTCGTCCTATTATATACTAAATTATCTTGGAACTGAATTAAGGTTTCGACACCTTTCCGAAACGTAGTATTCTCTCCCACTTAATCTTGTAATGCTCTCATCATGGATCATGGATCATCGTTATGATTGTCCATTAGGGGTGTTCAAATTCGAGTATCTGAATTTTCGGGTACCCGAAATTTTTGTCACTAAAACTCAACCTATGTCCGGACTTATAAGAGACATATACCTGCATTTTCGGATCACGACATTCAGTTAATATTTATTTTTATTTTTTTTGAAATTTTAATTTTTTAATTAAAAAAACTCACATTAAAAAACATAAAATTTAAAAGTTTATAATACATACTATAAACATAAAATTTATAAATCCAAAATATATAATTAAAAAATAAAATTATAACATTAAAACTAAATTTGAAATAATTTGAGATTAAAATAAATAATTTTTAAAAAACAGAGCTTTAGAATGTTAGGTGAAATAATTTTCATATTAGAAATGAAAAATCTAATTTAAATAATAATAATAAAAAATAAAAAAGGGGAATCGGGTCAGCGGACATCCGGTCAAGGACAATTTTGTAACCTGGGCTCAATCCGGAAACTCGTAAAAAATAACATACCGGGTACCTGTCCCACAAAATTGGGTATTTATCGATAATTTTACATCAAGTTGGCGAGTCGTAGTAAAGGTTTTTTTTTATTATTAGTATGAGGTAAGTTCAAAATAATATATGTTTAAAGATAACTCTTAATAATTTAATATTTAATGCTCATACCCTAGCATTTATGGTACTCGAACTCAACGAATATCAATCATTCCTTAAAACTGAAACTGTTTGGTTCCTACAATTCATCCCAATAAAGTTTGGAAACTAAAGAATTAAAATATATATATATATATATATATATATATATATAATTCTATAAAAAAAGGTAAATTGATTAATAAATAAATAAGAGAAAGTGAAAAATCATCCATTTCTCTTTGGTTATCTTCTCCGTGAATGGCGGATGTATTTTTTTTTTTTGCTTTACAGCTTTACTCGCTTTGGGACCTCTGCTTTGTTGACTTACATATGAACTTATAGCAATTTAAAAGACTAATGTTTTCGTAGGACCATTATTTATATAATATATGGTCACTGTGGAATTAATGTTCACACTATACTCTTTATTAGGGTTAGGTTCTGACCTTAATATATATATATAAATAATTTAAATTTTAAAGTATGAGACTAAGTAATTATTTTGGGACCAGTACTGTTTCAAATTTCAATGAATATATGGAACCCAATGTGAAAAAATGGATAAATAATAAAATTACATATAAACTTTTGTAAAATGTATAATATGATACATGAATTTTAATTTTGTGTTATTATATATATGAGGTATTGATTTCATTTGATTTTCACAAGTTATTGAAACTATTGTCAACGTAACATCATTTTGTATTTAAATATTATATATATAAATAATTACATTTATTCAATATACAAAACAAGTGAATGTGTTAATTTTTAATGTGTAAAATTGAATCAGATTCAAAGTTTATGCACCATATTATATATTTGATAAAAGTTATGTGTAATTTTGATATTTATTCCAAGAAATAGGAGCACATGATTGTGGGAGTAATCATGATGCTGGAGATTCAATTGGATGGTTAAAAACGAAAATCAACAAAATAAAAGTATATAAAATAAATGTACCACTTTGAATAGATATAAGATAAAATCATATATAAGGTTCCTATATTATGTACTTTTGTCAATTTAGTCCCTTTGTTATAACTTGATCGTAAACCTTTTATTTTTTAAAATATGTATTTTTTGGGTCTTGAAATCAGTTTATTTTGTTAATCCCATTAAATAATTCAATGCTCTTTTACAATTCACGTTTAAAGTATTGAATATCTATTGTAATAATACGATCACTGAAATTCGGATATAAATTTTCTTTTTTACAATACGATCTATTTTGGCAATGTATCCAACAGTTTTAGAAGTGCGGTTGATTTGGTTTCATTAATATCATGAAATGAAAATAATTTATGATCAAATGGGCTTGAAATGGAAGTTAACAGGGACAAGAATGAGGTAGAATATTATTATGGGATTTAATGGTATCACCTACTCTCTTTTTATCTTATCCGATCACTCCATCTCACTGGGAACAAAGGCCAGCAACTTGTCGCCAGGCTGGTTGGAGATGCAACACCCATTGTCCTAACACGGGTGTTCGTATTCGATTTATATGTTCATAAGTATATTTAGGGTTTACTTTCCATTACAGACGTGCATATGAAAACCGCTCAACTATGTATTTATTTATCTATTTATACATGCATTGTCTTTTATCTTTATTTTTAATTTTCTGATTGTCGAAGATCTTTCACGGAAGTTACTCTCAACCTGGCATTGGGGGCAGTCTACTACCATACCTCTCCCTTACCCAATTACATATGGGAATAGGGTTTTGTTGTTGTTGTAGGGTTTATCAACAGCATTCATGAAGACGTTTGTTTATATCTACTCATTTATTTAGTTTAATAAATTAATATTATACAAATAATTAATCAAATGCTCTATTTATTTACATTTGCACTTGAGACATAAAATTAAGGGATGTTTGAAGGCGGCGTGTATTTGCTATATTGTTTGCATTTTTACATTTTGGGTGTATATTTTTATTTTAATTAAATTATTTAATATATGATAATTTTAATTATATATGATGCAATGAATCAAATCATTTAATATATGATAATTTTAATTATAAACATATAAATCTTACTATTCGAACTCACAACCTGATTTGAACGATGAATATCGCCGATGACGGCAATGAATTGTCCAAAGGAGTATTTTGCCCATCATTTGAAAGCCCAATAGATCATCATTATAAATGTACTCAGGATAGATCATATAATTTTGTAGGGTAAACTACACGTTTAATATCCTAACTATTATTTTTATTATATTTTGGTCATTCAATTATTTTTTAAAATCATACTTAATATTACATTTTGATTTCATTTTGATCACCTATTATTAAATAATTAACAGAACTGCTAATACGATATGTTTTCAATGATGACGTGGCATTATCTTATTGTAACACATTAGCATCATCGTTACTTTTTAATAACAGGTGGCCAAAATGAAATAAAAACTAAACATTATGTATGATTTTGAAAAAAATAATTTAGTGATGAAAACATAACAGAAGTGATAGTTGGTGCAGTAAACGTTAGTTTTCCCATTTTTATGATAGATTTGCAAGATTTGTAGCATACCATACCAGCCGAAAGCCCAAACCCTTCTACAAACAAACCCAAAGACCTCCAAAATCCCTGCCACCAAAAATGTCCGCCGCCAGGTCTGTCATCCGTTCCGCGGCCGCCCGAGCATCCGCGGCAACCAGACTCGCTGGTGCAACCAAGCCTATGCAGCGACCCGCTTGCTCGCCCTTTCGGATCTCCAAGCAAAACCCGTTCCCTGCTCGTATTTTCAGGTAATGAATATTCAATTCTGTTCTTTTATATAGTAAATAAATTAATAGAATATTTCTTCATAAATTTGGGGAAAAAAGGTCACCGGTGGAGATGAGCTGCTGTGTAGAAACACTGCTTCCGTATCACACAGCCACTGCTTCAGCTTTGCTGACTTCCATGCTTACTGTTTCTCGCCGGGGATCCGGTTGGACCGCTGAAGGTATTTCTTTACACATTTTTTATCTATTTAAATTATTAGATTTTAAAGCGTTCGAAGTTTCTAACTTTTAACTACATAGAACGTCTGCCTCTTTTTCTGATAGATAAAGCTTGCGTCCTTAATGACTGAATGAAAGTTGAATTAAGAGTCCCTAATTACAGTAGTAAAATTAACTAAAACCATATTTGGTCCTTAATTACAGAAGATGTGGTTTCCTGCCTTCCCTAATGATAAGCTTCAGTTCTTCGTTGCTATGCTTTTTCTTTATTGGATATCTTATAACCTGAAGAGGTGTTGGCAATAAAATAGCAGTAAGGGGAATTTTTCTTATTATTATAACTAGAATTTATGGGGGAAAGTAGGCTGTATCTGCTAAGCATAAACGGCCGCTGGGTGCTGGCTGACAAGAAGTTTCATAGATGAGCATCAACCACTCTCAAAAACAATAGCCAAATGTTTTCATATTGCACTTCCCATTTCATCTCCTTTTTCTCCTCTTCCCTTTTTTGGAAAGGTAAAATAATCATTTCTCCTCTATGTCTTGTAAATAAGTGGAAGAATATAAACTCTTTTATCGTTTTGTAGGCCTAGACAAGACTAGATGAAGGACAAGCGCAGAGAGGGAGTGACCTGGATTTGTTTTTCATTTTTGAACTTTTTTGGGACTGCTACTGAATTGTTCTTCAGTGCTTGAGTTGATCATAATTGTGAAATGGCAAGAGTTTGAATGATATGCTCAATAATTTCATGGTTTTAGAGCCATCAGATGAAATCTTGATAAGCATTTTTTAATTAGTTAGCTGATTGTTCCTGAAATTACTGTTAACGTTCTGAAAAGTTAACCATGTTGTTTTCTTTGTTTTATGAATGCTTAGACCTGCTTACTCGTTGACCTAATCTATGGATGGAAAAGGGTTTTTTTTTATAGAAATAGAGTAGGCCTCATTAAAAATCCCCTTCATAACCACCATGTTACATAAGTAACAAGAAGGCCATTGGAAGGAGGAAAATAGTGCCTAGGAATTTATTAATATAAGAATAATACAAAACCAGTTCCTTACAAACTTCTGTTACAACATAACACCTAAAAACCAAACTAAATACTTTAATACAACCAGCTCAGAAGGGCAGAACAACCTAAACACACAACCTATTCCATCTTTAGCTAATTTGTCCGATTCCCAATTAGCAACTCTCAGAGTATGCCTAATAATAATATCCTTACTATCCACTAGGGAAGCAATATCTTTCACCAAAGACTGAAACATAGGTGTACATATAGCCGGCTTTTTTATCCACTTCAGAGCAGTAAGGGAATCCGATTCGAGGATAATCCTTGGAATGGATGGGAAAGGGTTAAAAGGCTCTCGGTGATGCAGTTAGCATAACTTTTCAAAAATGCATGAAATCTAACACTTTGAGATGATATGGGTTTTGGTCATGCATAATTGAGTTGAGATTGTTATTTGGTGGTTCATAACTAATAAGTTTTCCAACTTAACTTGAACTAAACCTTATTTATGTTCTTATTTGTTCCAGTATAAGTAGGATATGAGACCAATAATGATTTGTTGTTTCACTCAGATTGCAATGATGATGTATGATGAATGTTGGAGAGCTCGGGCAAAGATTTTGATAAATGCACTCTAAGACAAGGTGGTGGAATAAAGCTTTTTAGTAGGGTCTTTAGATACTTTCCCCTGTTCATAAATTTAACATTCTTATCGAGTTGGAAGAAATTAAACCATAAATAGGTGCTTTTGAAGGTCTTACGAATGAAAGGTTGGATCAGATTATGAATATGATGATATTGTGTTATTTTTATTAATGTTTGTAAGAGCTAAATGAACGGCTCTAAATATTTAGGAGCTGTAAGTGAAGAACCAGTTTTCATATTGATTATTGTCTTTGACAAATTGAATTTCACGTATATGTCGATGTTGGCTGTGCCAAACCCTAGGTTTTGAACCTATAGCCTTCCTAGAGTACAATCTTCTGCTTCCATTGGCCACTGCTCATGTTCATTTTCTTTTAACCTGATCTTGATCAGCATAATTATGGAATTTGTCTGAATAAGTCTAGTTGTATTCTCTGTATCTAAATCCTCTCATTTCTTGTGTCCATAGTAGAGATGTGATCTGAACCTTTATGAAATACAGTTGAAACACGAATATATTGTCGATCTTCTTTAGTGTGGATGAAATGGTAACAAATTTCTAATACCATGCACCTATTTTCTTCTACTGTAGATGGATGATTGTGGTTGGGATATGCGGTGCTATTCATCTCCATGAAAATTCGATCAATCTTTGTAGGACTTTGATGTGCGTATTCTTCTTGGAAGAATGTGAAAATCGGATGTTATTACAACATTTGTTCTTTGAGCATCTGGAAGTAGGTATCAGATGGAAATATACCAATTTTTTTCTATTCTCTGAATAAGTTAAATACCTTATATCACCAGATTTCATGTTTCTTCTTCTTCTTCCTGTTTCTCCTTTGAATAATTTGTAGCTTATATGATCAAAGGTGCTCCCATGGATAGCATGCTTGACCAAATAAATCCACTAGCGTTGACATGTTCTTGATATGAAAGGGATAGGTCATGTCTTTGCCCTGAACTTTAGCACTTTGTCCTACTTGGTCCCTAAACATTTTTTGTTGTCCATATTGGTCTTGGAACATGGCAAATTTCCCAACATGGTCTTTGGACATTTTGATGATATAACACTTTGATAACGTGTTGTGTCATAAAAAGAACATTTTTAAAGAAAAAAATCAAGCGATGTTTAAGAACCTCAAAATATCACATCATCAAAAAGATCAAAGATTCAAGCTGTGAGACCAAGTTGGGAAAGTTGTCAAGTTCCAGGGCTAATAGGACAATGAAGGTTTAGGAGCCAAATTGTGAAATGTGGTCAAGTTTAGGGGGGCAAAATGTGAGATTTACATTTTGCAAGTCGGACTTCTCACCTACATTTAATTCCTGATATGCATCTATCTATCAATGGAATTTCCTCTATTAAACAAAACATTGCTTTCTAATTTCTATAGGTGGTAATTGGTTAAGCAACAACAGCAATTAACACCACGCATCTCCTCCTACATCATTTAAGTATGGGCTATAGTTTGCTGGGTTGTGAATTCAGCCTTTTGCGGCTAAAACAAACCATGGGTTTAATCTATGCCTGATATCCCACTTTATGAAAGAATTGCGAAAATAATTATGTTTCTTATTAAAATAATCCATTTATTACACAATACACCATCTGTGCTAATTTAACGACAAAACTTTAATTTAACTATTCGTACGTTTGGATTAAAATAATAATAAAACTTTCTCAGAGAAAAACTATGATAGATTGGTATATTGGTATTATTTAAATGTCACATATATTTATGTAATTAGGCATTTGATTTGATTTAAATTTAGAAAGATTTCGCCTAATTTGAATTTTGTTTTAATTTTTTAAATAAAAATTAATATTTGATCTCACCTAGATTTAAAGAAACTCGTATTTGACTTGATATAAATATGTATTTTTATTTTTATTAGAAAAAAATATGAATCTAATTAAATATATATGGGGTATTTTTGTAATTACGTTTAAATATATAAAGAATAATTATATTATTATCTTGGATCCGGTCAAAATTTTTTACTCTAATTTTAAAACCAACTTAATATGACCTTTAAAAAAATAATTTAACTCATTCGGATTTTATCAAATCAAAATTATCAAATTTGAGTTTCATTACTCATATCTATATGGATTTGTATTAAGAAATGGATAAGACTGACTGAGATCAAGATGACTCCACATCCCAATAATATCCTTGTTGGAATCCTTTCCTAGAAACGGCATCCATATTAAACAGTTCTAATCAATTATAGGTCAAATTCTAGTGTTGGTCCCTTAACTATCCTCGCATTCAAGATTTAACTATTATATTTTAATTTGATATATATGAAATTTAACATAATTTAACTACTGTACTAATATTCCTTCCAATTTACACAAAATAGAAATCTATTTCAACGTAATGAGTTGCTGGAATGATTTTTTTTTTAAAAGAAGTTTATGTCAACATTCTAAGTACGATAATTTATGGACAAACTAATGATAGAAAATGACACTATATCTAATTAAAGTATGAATACTAAATTATAAATTTGAGTTGAGAGAAGGACTAAAACCACGATCCAGAAGAAAACTAAAAGTCCACGTAGACAGAACCAGAAGTGCAACACCGGTGGTTGGTGACGGCGAGTCGGTCACAACTTGATCATAGCTTGTGGCTAAGACCTAAACCCCGGAATGGCAGTTGGCACACCACAATTATAGTATATAGTCACATACATTTAAGGCTAAACTACATTAGTTATCACTTAATTTCAGATGATCTATTGCTTATACTATTAAACTTTTAATTGCATCAATTATAACATTAAATTTTAGTTTTGATTTTAATTGTTAAATTCAAAATGACACGATAATATAGATAAAACAATATCGTTTTGATACGGCTATTGACGTTTAAAATGACAATGTTTTAGGCACTAAACTTTAATGGTGGTTCAATTTTGTCATTAAAATGTTAAACATTTTAATTTTTGACATTATACTTTTTTACATGTCACTGATAATGAATTGTTACCCATCATCGATTGATTTTTATGGCAAGATTGATATGAAAATTTTTGTAATTCACTCCTCTTTCTTCTCGTAAGATTAATTTTTCACAAAAAACATTCAAATCGAAGAAATTAAACAAAACACCCACCATTTTTAGAGGTTTGATGTGTTTATTAAAAAATCTAAACAATAAGAAATATTATTTTAACAAGGCAAATAAAATAGACGATCATCAAAGTATTAGTATATTAAATGTTTAGATAAATTTTCATGATTTTCATAGAAAATAATCCAATGAAAAAAATATTAGTGACATGTGAACATTTTTATATGGATCTTGCGTAAATGACAACAGTTTGAGGACTAGCTAACAAAAGGATTTGATGGATATGATTTAGAGTTTAAGGACCATACCAAAATATAGATCACAAATTGAGAACGTTTTATGGAATTAACCCAAAATTAATTTAATAACACCTGTATTATAAGTCTTTATCTAATTAGATAATCATCAAGCAAAGTCCAATTATATAAGAATCTAGGGAGTGCTCTGCCTGTGCCGCTGCTCTTTCTCTTTTGTATCTCCAGTTTTCTTCGGCGAGAAAGTGTTTGGTTTGATTTGCAACGATGATGGAGCTGTTCGTGTTGGGGTGTACCGGAGTTGTGGTGTTCCTTCACGGTGCCAATTTCTTCTTCCACGTTCTTTGCCAGCACCTCGCTGTTCGTTCTCTCAGGTTCGTTCAATTTTTTTCTTAATTCCCAGAATTCTGGGAATTGTTATTTCACAATAAATGATCTGGGAAAAACGATCTCAAATTTCTCATTTTACAAGATTCACCTGCTAAAACTATTTACTGGGTATTGAGTATTTGATTTTGTCATACAATTACGTCGGATCAGAGTTTAATGTAACTTTATAATTAGTAATTTAGTATCGTTGTTGTTGTGTTTATTGATTCTGATGTTTTAATTTATGATTTTTTTTCCAGTTTCTTGGGATTTGTTGGGTGGTAGAAAAAGGGAGAAAAGAGAGTTTGAAAGAGGATTCATTTATCTTCATGCAATTTTTCAATGTGGATTATGCTTTGTAAATATTTGATTATAAGCATGTCAATGTGATGATATGTATGTATCATTGAAGCTATATTTCTATTGTCGATGTTGAAATGAAGTATGATTTTCAGTTTTTTCAAGCATTTTGTACTATGGGTTATTTTAGGTATTTGATTGGGTTATTTTTATCTAATTATTTTAGATTCAAGTGAATGTAAATTTAAATTGTTGATGATATGATGAAATCATACTAGCTTGAATTTTAATTACGTCAATTTAAATTGTTGATTATATGATAAAATCAGATTATATGTAAATTTAAATTGTTGATTATATTATTTTTTATTATTTTGAACTTGATCAAATATTATAATAATAATAATAATATTTTTTCTCGATTTAATTTATATTTAAACATATTTTATTTACCTCAAATTTGATTAAAAATTTAATTAGAAATTTGACTCTAAACTAATTCAATCAAACCTAATTTAATATATTTTCAATATATATATATATATATTGTTAAAATTAAATAAATAAATAAAATACTAAATTATTAATAATATTAAGTTAAAATAAATTTTAATTTAATACTATAATCTAACATTTTATATACTAATATATATATATCAAAATATAAATGTATAAGAAATACATCTACATAAATTATCCTGAATTCTATAAAATTAACTCAAAATTCAAAATAAAAAAAATGATGATATGGAATAGAAACCGAATCTCACGGTATATAATTATATAAATGGAATCTTCCGTTCCGTTTTCGAATAAATACCGATATTTTCTAGAAAAAAAGAAAAGAAAAAATATTAAAAGTATGAGATATCGGATCAACGTAAGGATAATAATCGCTGACCCAAAACCTCAGCGTATCACAGGCAAAACAAACCCCTACCACTCAAAGTTAGATTACAGTACCCAAGCTCCTAATAATCAAAGATTTGATCATTGAAACCCTTTTCTGCATCTTCACCAAGCTACTAACTACCTCTGAAACCCACAAGCAACTGCCCATAAGGGCCAAATACATATATAGCAACGAATCATAGATCCATAACCAATTTCTTTCGCCCTTATCGTTCAACAAGATGGTTTGTGAAGCTCTGTCCTTAACCATCCCTTTCTTCTCAATAATAGCCTCCAAAAAAGATCTTAGATTAGCTAAAACCTATAATCTTTGTCGTTCCAGTCCTAGGATTCAGTGCTCGAGTTCTGGTGCAGATCAGGGCCCTGTAACTGCTGGTAAGTTCACTGCTTTTTCCATTTCCATTTCCCTTTTTTTCTTTGTAATTTGAAGGTGATTGTTATGGTGTATCTCGCAGATAAGCTTGAAAATGATTATTCCTTGACTGGTACTGCTTATGATTTTGAAAGAGCTACCATATCACTTACTCGTGAGTCTTTATCGTCCCCAAAGAAGGTAACTCTTGTAAGGCATGGCCTCAGCTCTTGGAATAAAGAGGGTAAAGTTCAGGTTTGTTGCCACTAGCTCTCTTGTAATTTAGTTTCGATTGCAAGTTATTGCTTGTGTTGTGGCTGTTGGCTGGTGGGTATAGTTGGAATGATATGGTATGAAATATGAATGAGAGCGTAGGAGTCGGGTTAAGTTATTTAATTTTGAACTAAATAAGGTTTAAAAAGTAATTAAACTATAAGAATTAGGATAAACTGCCTCTATTACCACTTAAAAATGGAAATTTGAAAATGAAGATTTTAATCTCACCGTGATTTGATTAGAGAATTAGATTTATTTAATTAAATTAAAATTATGACCAAAATGATAATATATGTAACTAACGAAAAATAAATGTAAAATTATCTTAAATTTTTTAATTGACACATCACTCTCTTCATTAACATTTAACATTTTGATTGACATCATTTAAATAGTGGTCTAATTGATAAAATTAAAAGAATTGATAGTTAAATTAGAATTCTCATAATTAAATGATACTGGGTGTAGTTTACCCTAAAAATTAAAGGAGTTAAAGGCTTAATTTTAAAATTAAAAGATCTTAAATAAATAGTTAAACTAGAAAAAATTGGAGTTAAAGTGTAATTTTATTAATTTTAAAATTAACAAATCCTAAAATATAATTAAATCAGAAATACGTGGGAGAGACAAGGATATAATTTCAATAATTTCAAAATTATCAACGGCTTAAATGTAATTAAACCATCAAAGTTGGAAGGACATTACCTCTCCCACCTACAACGTGCCTCGGTCCATGAATGAGAGAAATGAAGCTATTTGAATGTGATGGATGAACATTGAAATTTAAGGAAGTTAAAACTGGTGTGTCCGATACAAGTGCCTGATTCATTGTCAACAACTGAACATAAATGAAGTTATATTATGTTACTTGGATTCGGATGTGTCTCAAACACGGATATATCAGATACAGGTGTTCGGTATGAGTATTTTTAGCTTAACCAAGAGTCGGGGCAAAATATAAGTTAGTTCCATTTGTATCGGAATCCCATGGATTCCTGAACTGCTGACTTTGTTATCTTTTGTGTTACAGGGAAGCTCAAACTTATCTGTTCTAACAGAAGCTGGGATAAAGCAAGCTGAGAGGTGTAGGCAGGCCCTTTCGAATATGCACTTTGATCAATGCTTTTCAAGTCCGATATCCCGTGCTAAGGTATGACTACTGACGTTTAAGGTTAGCCGTACATGATTCTTTTTTATATCGGACTATCTTTCTTCAATGCAGACCACTGCCGAAGTGTTATGGCAAGGGAGGGAAGAGCCACTGGTTTTCCTTGATTCACTGAAGGAGTGCCATCTCTTTTTCCTTGAAGGCATGAAAAATGGTCTGTTTCTAACAATTGGTTATTTGTTCACAACTTGTCTAAGTACATTACTAACTTGGTCTACGTAGAAGTCATCGTCTAGTTGGTTTTGAACATCGGTTAACTTGATTAGCTCATTCTGGTTTGGAATAATGCAAAAACTACTAGTACTAGACTAAATGATATTCAGAATTTGGAGGCAGTGGATGCTAAGGTGATATATCCAAAGGAGTACACAACATGGAGAGAGGATCCGGCAAATTTCTACGTAAACGGCGTCTACCCTCTTCGGAAACTGTGGGCAACAGCAAGAGAATCTTGGAGGGAAATCTTGTTGTCACCCGTATGCCATCTTTTGTTTTCATTTTTTCTGTAACTTTTACCATTTCTGCATTGCCCAATTGATCTGATTGATGAGTAAGAATAGTCCATCATTGATCAGGGAGAAAACTTTTTGGTTGTCACGCACAAATCAATGTTAAGGGCACTGATCTGCTCAGCTTTAGGGCTTCCCCCCGAGAGGTATGCCATTTTCTTCTCAATGTGTTTCTAGGCATCTTGTTGAACTCAAAAACCAACCGCGATCTGCGTATCACCCGTTGTTCGTAAATGGTCTGTGCTTGGCTTTCGGCGGTTCTTAATGGTTTCTTTTTCATGCTTCAGGTTTCGGTCGATTGATGTGAACAATGGTGGTATATCCACGTTTGTTTTCAACAAAAGAGGGGAAGCAATGCTCCAGTCTTTGAACATGACTGCTCATATGTATAGCGATCACGTGTATCTTTCTTGAATCTGTTTGAATCAATAGCTGTTAAGACTGAGAAACCATTGTTTAGTTCATATGAACATAGTGATACATAATATAGATCTACACATTCTTAACCAGCAGAACAAAGGCCCAAGTGAGCTGGTAGGAGGGTTGTACTTATTTTTCCAAATCGAAGTTTTTTTTTTTTAGATTAGGGTGAACAAAATTCGATTAAACTGAGTTTGCTTTCATCAAAAGTCTTCAACAGTAGCTTTGCTTTGCTGAAAGCAAGAAAATTCCCTTCCCTTTCTCTTGTTTTATGTCTTCCATGGAAGCTAAAGAAGTAGAAAAATCAAATATAGACCCGCAGAGATCATATGGATCGTATAAAATGTGCATTCATGAATAGAAAGCTTCAGGGTATAAATAAACTGGCTTAAATGCAAAACATACTACTTTCAACATTTATTTCAGTATATCACTCTTTGATTTCAGAACATGGATTTCAACAAGATTGGAGGTTTGCATACCAGAACTGGGAAGCAAAAGGATATAGAGCCCATAGCTAGCGAATACGGTGACTGTAACGAGTTTACTATATATTCGAATTCTGGAAAAAAAAGAAAATACTGTTTCCGCCATTACTGCATCACAAGCTATAAAAGTTCTTCTGAACTGATTCCCCTTGCAATTCCTCACTGTTATCTACAGACACTTTTTCATACACCGCATCCGTTCGAAACCGTTTAGGTAGTAAACACTGACCCCCAAATCGCTGCTGCAAGGAAATGAAGATGGAAAAGAGCAGACCACCAGAAGGTATGATGATATCCCAGGCTGTGGAATAGAGATCCATCTTATGATTAGCATATATATATGATAAATCGAGATATCCTGAAAAACTGTGAGCTCTGTAAAGATCGTATGCATGAGGCAACAACCGGACCAGGGTGGTTCCCAAGTAAAACGAAGCAGCAAGAGCGTTTTTGTTGGAATTGGAGAACATGTTGAACACAATCTGTGGAAGCAAAAACCCATCGACGACCGAACCGCCATAAGATTTAAGGTCACTCCAGAAAGAACTTTGCTGGTAGAAATTATTCTTGAACGGAAGACGTCTCTGACGGGGTTGTAGAAATGGTGTCTGGTGAGTGTTTTTCCAAAGGTGCACAAACCAAGCAATCAACACACCGGTTAGATATAAAGGTAGGGATATGTATAAAACCTTTCTCTCAGCCTCCCATAAGCCCTTTAGGCTTTCATAACTTTGCCGTTCAGACCACGTGAGTTGGAGAAGGCGAAACTGCAAAAGGAAAGCTACCATTGTTACCGCCCTTACTATTATTTCGTTTACTTCAAGCCATCCACCACTTTGAAGAAAAGCATTTTGTTGTTGATTATGATTTGGTACGAACAAGGCCTCAAAGTTCAACAATAGAGGAATCATATGCCCCAGAGTAAGAACAATGAGCATCAAGACAGAGATAAAGGGAAGCACTTCGGAATGTTTCTTAACATGAAACAGCTGCAATCCAACAAAAAGACATGCAAGTGTATTGGAAACCAGAACCATGGTAATCTCCAAATCCATTCTCCAAATGGATTCTTTCGCCTGTCCAGCGTAGAATGATTTTGAAGACAAACTAATGGGCCCAAAATAACGAGGGTCTGACTTGATCCGTGTGCTTTTAATTGTCCCCTTAACACGATACTTTTCTGCAGAATTTAACGGAGAAAATTGAGCAGTAACCAAAATGTCACAATCCAGTGAATCATTTTTTATCGAACTATGATTCTTGTATCTTACTTGTAATTGACTACATCCAACCATGCATAGAACACCGGAATGCCTATCATATATTCCCTCAGAAGAAATTACAAATCCTCTGTCCAAAATACGACCATCACTCGAACGATACGAGTAGCTAATCTCGTAGCTGATATTTAATAGCCTGCCGTCATTATTGCTCAAATGATCTGCTGACACATTCGACATTGATAAAAGACCGTAAGGCTGATACTTGTAGGGCTGGTCACCCACAAACAGCGGGTTTGCAACACCCCATGCTGCTTCTCCTTCACTATCAATCAACAACATTTCAAATCTCATGTCTATTGAATCGCCATTAGGGTATGTCTTTCCCTTGTGTTCAGCAACGTTCTTACTCACATAAATTTTTCGAGCACTAGCAACCTCTGTATACTCGTATCTTAAACCTGGAACATTCTTTAACCCAGGTGATACTTCCCAAACACTCCTGAGCCTAATCATATCAAAGTAACTTGGATCATCCTTGCTTTTATCACTCCAAATTTTCCCCACAATCGAATCCCTATTCCTCAGTGAAAACACCTTGGGGTATCTCAAGCTAAACTTAATGGAGCACTCGCCCACAGATGCTCCATTCAAAGAATCCCTGAAATTCAAAACTCGACAAGCAACACCGCAGACACCATTCTTCTTCTCGTCCCATGCTCCCTCAGCGATCAAGGTCGTATTGGGATCAAAAGGGAAAAATGCACTGATAGAACTCGAGTTTCGAAAATCCAACAAAATCAGCATTTTCCCTTCATCCACACATTTCGTCTGTCGAAAAAACATGATACTCGGAGCATCCTTAACATCTCTAATAATGGAACTACAATTATCTTGATCACAATCCTTCTCATAATCCAATCCAAACCTAATCCTACGGTGAACATTCACTGAACAAAGTCCTCCATTTGCTTTGCTAACATCCAAATTCTCTCCTTCACTTAAACATGAACTTTCCTGTCCATTATCAACCAAACTAAACTCATAATTCCCAAAGCTCCTCACACCCAATAAGGAAACAGGCTCAAAATAACTCGAACTATGTTCAGAATCCAAACTTTGAAGAACCCCAGAGATCAAACTACCGGAAACATTAAAAGTGGTTGAATAATTGAGCTTAAGAACAACATTAAAGGTCCGAAATTTACCTGCATTTCCGTTACTCATCCCTGACCCAATCATACAAAGCCTCCCAGTCGATTCCGACCAAAACCCACCAAGTGAAAACCTCTGCATTTCTCTATCGACCACCGAAGGAATTTTTGGTCCCCTGATCCGGAACGTCCGCCGCAATCCACGGCGGGGATTTAATACACCGCCACCGGGAGAAGAAATGGCAAACGATTTGGGAGTTTGTAAAACGAGCTTTCCATTCACTTTATGGATTCGGTTCTTATTACTATCGAGGTAGTCTTGCGAGAAACGAGCATGAAACGTTGCGGATTTCAGCACATCGGTGGCGGGATTCAGTTGGGAGAAAATGGAGTCTCCGCCGGTGTAATACCCAATTTTGAAGTCGAGGTCGTGAGAGATAGAGGAACTGGAAGAGAGAGCGCTAGGCTCCGCTGTTGATGCCGGCACGACGTCGTTGCAGCGTTTGACGTACTCTAATGGTATTTGAGCGGCGATTGAGGAGATTGCCTTTGGGATTTGAAGAAGAAAAACGATGGCGACGAAGAGGAAGGGAGTTGGATGGAAATTATGGGTTTTTGAGTGACTTTTTGGGTAAAAAATAAGTTCCGGCGGCTTCATCGTTAACCGGTTTTGAAATTGGCGAAGCTTTAGAGACTCGGAGCGGTGAAGAAACAGTGTTAAAATCAATGGGGGTATTTATAGCTACCTCCATTTAAGGCCATGTTCGGGGACAAATATAGGAGTTTTAATTTGATTTATGACCGACCATAAAGCATAAAGGATTTAACGGCAAAATTCTTGACACTTTGTGTTCAATTCGAAGGATAAAGTTATCCGAAGCGGTTGAATTATGCTTAAATGATCGTTTTAATTATATTTGATTGATTATATCGATATTCATTTCTTTTAATGTTAATATATTATTTCAAGCCGAGTTATTTTAAATTTGATTTATTTGAATTTATCGAGTGAATTTTTTTAAACTAAATCATTTTTCGGCTTGTTTATTTCGTACATTTCAAATGATCTTTTTAGATTCAAGTTATCTCGGATTCCAATCATTGATTTCAAAACATTTTAACTATAACATAATTGTTTTAAAACGGTTAACTATTATTAGTGGTTCGTTTATAAATAAACCTACCATTAACATATTACAATTATTTTTCAAAAATAACTGAACATAAACGTTTTAAAATTTCATAATTCATACTAAAAATGTATCACTTAACACATATTTTTACTAGTGTAAGTAAAGAAAATAAAAAATATAACGTTTAACACATACTTACTTTGATGTAGGTATGTACATCTCTTAAAAAATGTAACATTCAACATATATATACACTAGTATAAGTATACACATCTCTCAGTTTGATTAATTCATAACCGCAACCTTAATCGTTAATTATCATTTTTTATTGTTTAGTTAACCGAAACTGTTTAACGTTAACAGTTTGATTAATTAACATATTAAATATAACGATTATATCGATTAATGGTTACCGTTAACAATTACGATTACTTTTAACACCCCCAGAATTATCAAAGCACACCAATCCAATCATATTTCTTATTTCATATTCTTATTGTCTGCAAACAATAATTTTCTTTTACAGTTTCGACTGTAATAGATTAAGGAAAACATAGCAATCTTTAACCAAATCACACCTGGATATGAACACATTCGTTTTTCTAGTTTTGAATTCCGGTGAGGAATATTATACAATGGTATTCATATGATAGCAGATTCACTTCAGCCCTTGAAATCGGCTGCAATCAATACCCTGATCTGAAAATGCCTCCACAAGCTTCGGAAGGAGCTTTGGCAGCATGATTTTGAACCCGGTCGAACTTCCTTCGATGTGTTCATCACGACTGTTTGCACGGCATTCGAGAGCATATCCTACTCGTGCACCTTCCATGTACATGTTGCAGGCCCAGATGATAGCTTCGGCGTGTTTACTAAAATGCTCCTTGACAAGTGCCTCGAAATGCTGTAACAGCATCGAATGGAGCCGGAAAGATGTTTAGGACCGATCAATTCTCTTAAAGAATACTTACAAACTCATCGAATGGAGCTGGAAAGATGTTTAGATTGCAAAATTTTACCTGCGGTGGCTTGCGGAGAATATAAAGCATGGACTGCCAGGTTACGAGGAACGCATTCTCATTGTAGCTCACTGAGTTCGTCTCCCCCTCGGCTCGTCCTAACTGTTTATCGTATCCAGCTTCGTTGAAGTAAGGTTTTTCATTAAGCACTAGAGCCTGGAGGGACAGAAGAACTTGTAGAATTGTTGAGCTGCCTGGATTCCAGACCTCGGTGTCAGAACCTGTCCACGTATTTAGGAGGCTTAAGCAAACCTTCCCTGATTCATACAGATTGGGATTGAGGCGTAGCCCCCCTGAATGGTAGTAGACCGACTGCAAAATTACGACTTTCATGAGATAGGTTTAAGGATAATAACATTTTAATGACCGCTTGTATTCGCATTCCAAAAGCTGCAATTAGTAGCAAGACTGGAAGTAGAGCTTACAGGTGGTTCATACGGATACTCCGGATGAAGATAAATATCGAAAAAGAACAGCCCATCATGGTAGGGCGTTCCAGGGGCACCCACAAGGGCTGCTCGTAGTAGATCCATCCTTTCTTCGTATGCACGGACATAGATAGTTTCTGCTCAGGTCAAAAATAGTGTTACGAGAAAATCGTTACATGCAACACATAAATTCATTACAAAGAGTAAGATAAAATACTAACCGGGAAGGTTTTCCTCTAGGATACTCCATTCTTGCTGAACCTTCTTTACCCAACTTCGTTTCACCTAGAAACACAGTCAAGTGCAAAAGCAGAAATGATCCACCGACTGTTTGAACAACTCGAATTGTATGTCGAAGGAGTCGAAAAATGTTTCTAACCTGAGACACAGCCAACACCTTGTTTTCCCCGAGAAAATGGTGATCTGTGCACTCGCTAACCATATCAAACTGCCTAAAGAGGCCTGAAGTCTCATTGGGTCTCGGCATCATTCTACCGTTGTTTCCTTTGATCTCTTCTACTTCCTGCTTTATTTTTGTTGTTTCAGATATCTGCATCTCAATCAGATCTAGCTCGGCATTTCGATAGCAAGTTTCCAATTCTTCTTTCTCGAGAAGAATATCATATTCTCTAGCACCATGAGAAATATAACTAGACGACTCTTGGCTTAAAGGTGATCTGGAACCAAGGGATCCAAGGATGCTAGAAGCAATGGTTGAGAAAAATCTGATGGCAGCTTGAGGACGAAAGAAGGAAGTAGGCGCCCATGAGACTTTCTCACCACTTTCACGAGCACTATCGAAACTCAGCAACTCCTGAGAATAGAATCAGTCATTATCGAGCTTAGCGAGACACATAATACAAGATGTGAGATGAGGATTGGCACAAAATGCTCAGAAATATAAATGGAAAAGAGGGAGAGAAAGTTGAGTTTACCTTTCCTTTGGGGCTATCAGATAGCGTCTCGTGCAGAAACATCTCGTGGTTAAAATCCTCTGTATTTTCTTCATAGTGAACATGAGCCGTAACTGAGTCTTCACACTTATCAATTCGGTAAATTTCATAAGGTGCAACCTGTGACGAAGTATAATGATAAATTCTTATGACTACAAATTGATATGTATGTGTATGCCTCGAATCATGGAAAACGGATGTGTAAGATTCAAACCTTTGTTGAAATACCAGAAGCCCATTTCACCTCCAATTCTCCATCTTCAAACCCAATGACAGTGCCAATACAGGATAGGCCATATGAAGAGGGAGAGTTGTTCTGATTCCATCTCATGTTTTCGCCTTTTGGAGCAGCTTCTGTGCCAAAACCCGTTTCTGAGGTTACGTGACCGTTGTCAGCTTGATCACCAAAATGGTTCTGCACCACTTTAAACACAATATCACCGAAAGAGTAGCAGTAGTTTGGGTGCTCAACAAGTTCATAAGCACTAACAGTTTCCTCCATCTGCTCTGTATCGTAATTGTTGACTTCATTCACGTCCATGTTTCTCCACTGTACCTTAACCATTCGCTCTTTTGCATCCACACCATGAACTACACCCCATCTTTGATTATTGACACTGGTTCCCTTTTCCAGGATGAACTGACAAGGCCAAAATTCGTGCGCATTTGCAACACTAACAGGAAGTAAAGTATGTGACTCTAATCCCAAACTGCAGGTACCATCTTGCCACATAACATCAAGCTTGGTCTTTGTCTTCATGATAGCAAAGATTTCCTCCAATCTTGATCCGAGGTTTCCTCTTTTAAATCCTTTTTCCAGTCTCCAGTTATCTTTAATCACATCGCGAGTTGATCCATGGAGAAACTCTTCAAAAGTTCCATTGCAGTCGTCAAAAGAAAGCATACACCAATCACCAAGCTGCCAACTTGCATGGGGAAAAGACGACAACAAAGTCAAGTCTTTTGCTTCCTGCAAACGTGAGGGAGGAGAGGCACTTGAATCGTGATCCATGTGTGCAGAGGAAATCCAATTAACGTAGACAAAACCCACATCCACACCGGAAACAGTTCCCTCATCCTGATTTCCGCTCCAGGTACCACATAACCATCTAGTTGAACTAGAAAAATTCGAAGGTACCACCCTTACTCTTTGTCCTGGATAATATGGATATTGCAAGTCATCGATTATGTTAGGAGAAACAGGCACAAGCTTCACTTGATCCATGGTACTAACTTCACACTTTGATCCATCATCAAACACGAAAGTGACACGGTCAACAACTTTATCCACCTTCCCAATCCAAGTTGAATTAACCACATAATCCCCAACAGAAATGGAACGGATCTTCAGAAGTTGTTTTGAATTTACATCTTTTATGATATTCCCATGAACATTCTCAAGATCCACAAGCATATTTACATTGATTACTCTACCCATCTGCCCAGACGGATCAGTTACGGAGCGCACAATATCTCCATGAACGAAACCCCTCTCAAATGAGAGGAGGTCATCGATTTTTCCAATACTTTCCTCTAGACTTGATAGAATGGTAGAAGCCTGACCATCATACAGAAAGTTCATTTCTTCCTGTTCTTCACTAATGCCACTTTCACTAAAATTTTCCCACTCAGAATCGGACAGCAGCATATCCATTTTTCACTGCCTACGGGAAGATGTTTGTTAAAGTTCAGTTCGACATGAAATGACATATGAACGACATATTTAGCAGCATTTCAGGCAAGATTCTGACCTTAGTATCTTTAAGAACAGGATCTATAGTAGACAGAAAATATCATAAAAGATAGCACACGCACCTGCGAATGTATGGAAAATTTAGTTTAAAGCAAGACATCACTAATTGTTAAGTGTTTCTCTTAATTACAGCAACTATCAGTTTAGTGCAAATTCGATAACAAGATAATATAAAGTCATGGAAGAAAAACATACCAGTACTTCACTCCTGCTTGAACAAACTGAAGCATCCAAGATACGCCAATCCAAGTTTATCTTAACAGATATTGTAATAAGGACGATGAGATAATAGTAAATCCCGATGAAGACACATCCAAGGATATGACTATACTCTTCTGTTACGAACCGTGGAATTTGTATCTTCCAGTCAGTCCGATTGTTCGAAACCGATAGTGAGTCAAATGTCCTGAAAAGGATATTTGACTCTAATGCCAAAGGAGATTTGCCCTGAAGGGACGAAGGAGTCAACGAAGAACTCCAAATGCCAAAGGAGATTTGCCCAAATGGGTCGAAAGTTTACACCAGAGGAAACTTCAGAAGAAGATTTTCCACAGAAGTAACAGAGGGGGTAAACTTTCCTGGTGTTCTAGTTAAAGGTCAGAGTGAAGTTCCGAGTACGAAAGGAGATATACATAAAGAGATGCAAATGATGATGATAAACACTCCTTCCTTAAGAAATTCACCTGACCAAAGGAGAATTGCCAACAAAGCTTAAAACTTCACACACACACACACACACACACACATATATATCTTGAGTCCAACAACAAAAACTACGATGCCAGAGGAGATATGCCCCGAACTGAAGCTGAAATTACTGTCTTTTTTTCCTTCGAATAAAGCTGATCTCTCACGAAGAGTTCGATGAAATCAGACAGGGATCAGCTACATTCAACCAAGCGAAGGGAAACAAAAGATTATATTGATATTCGCCGTATGAGGAAAGCTGACTATCGAATAATGTCCTGACTTTACTTATTCCAACAATGACTTCTCCTTGCTGAAACTCATGAGTGCTTCTCTAAGCCATTTAACGTTTCCTAGGAACCTTCAAGACAGCATAAGCAAAAGTCGAATAATCACATATTTTATCCATAAAAACAAAGATGCCTAATAGATGATACAAAAAATAAATTAAAAACAACAAAAGAATGTAAATTTAAGAATCCACTTTACAAAAAACAGAATAGCATCTATACCTACATATAATTTGATCACTAAGATAAGCTAACTTATTGATTAAAAATAAATAATTTCAGATACCTTCAATTAGATTACTCAATGAAAACCTCATTTTTTTCTCCAGTTTTTGCACCATTAAGTCATTAACAAGCTTCCTTTGCTTTCAATGATTCAAAAATTCAAATTTCAATGAAAAAACACTCTTTCTTTTTCCCTTTCTTTTTTTCAGCATGCAGACCATATAACATATGCAAGCACTGCTTTGAATTCTATAGATAAACTGAAAGTTCTATCAAAACTTAACCGATAGCAACAACACAAAGTTTAAATTATAAAAGCATAGTTTACCCATGAGAAGAAAAAAAGAAACCATGTGAGATTTTCATGCAAAACAAGTGAATTAAAATAGTATATATTACCAAAAACACAAAAACACAAAAACAAAAGAACAAAAGATTTACCCTTTGCCTCTTCTGAATACGAGTAGAGCCATAGATTCTAATGAAAAAGCAAATCAACTCAACCCAGAAAACGACTTAAAGTGATAATTCATTTAAAGCCAAAAGAACAAAAGGAAAAAAAAGAACCCAAAGTAAAAGAAAGAACGGGAAATTTCAGAGAGGTATAGTTCCTCTCTGAATCCCCATAATCAAGACGCCATTAACGAAGCTAGAAAACATTGCAGAGCAAAGTAACAGAGGAAAAAAGACTTCGCGTTCTGAGTTTTTGTTCGTTTGAACGTTGAAGAAACACAGTTGATAATGGCGGTGATGATATTTTCTCATCAAAAGGAAAAATATTGGAATTTCAGATTATATTTGTAATTTATGTTAATGCAATATGCATAGAGAAAAAGAAACGAAGAATATACACGGTATCTTAATTATACTGTACGTTCTTCTTTCAATGACATTATTGCCCCTATTGTTTTCCTTTTATGCAACCAAACCCACGTGCTAATCAATAATACAAAGTCTAAAAAATTAAATTAAAAATTATAATTGATATCATAATAATAACAATAATAATAATAATAATAATTCTTTACATTAAAATATAGTTATCAATAATATATGACTCATGATTTGTATACAGATTATTTATTATTATTCTTTGTTCAAAAAAAGATTATTTTATTATTCTACATTAAATAAACTTTTATATACAATAGTTTACATGTAACAATATAATTTTATTAGATCAGTTATATTATTAGGATAATACTCTTTTAATATTTATTTAATATATAATTTTTAAAAAAGTATTTAAGAAAATAATTTATAAAGGTAAGTCACGTAAGTCATATTCTCTAAAAGATATATTATGTAGGACATATATTTGTTGAAGTGATAGAAGTTTTATATGAAATTTTCAATATCATCTAAAATAAAAAATGAAAAAAATCAAAACAATAAATTAAAATATTAAAAATAATATTTATTTAAAAATAATAAATGTAGTCGATGCATGTTTAGAACACATATTTATGTGAACATAAATTAATCAAATACAACAACATGTAATTATAATATTATGTTTTAATATATTAACTGATTAATATATCAAATATCATGAGATTATGAAAGGATATTATGTTTAATATTAGCATGCAGATGACGTGTTTAAGAATATGATGGGTACTTACTAGATTCTGTACGGTAATGTATATACACACATGTATATATAGAAAAGTAAAAAAAATTGTCTGAATTGCAGGGGAAAAACAACTTCAATGCTGCTTGTGGTAATAAAAGATGGTAAAAGTGTTTAAATAATGCATTAGAAAAAAATCTTCACATACATAGTGCAGTCGAATAATTATTTGTTTAAGTAGGGTGATTGTTACAGTGACCATCATATGTCTCCAGGAGCACATGGTAATCTTCATAGGTCTCCAAAAGCATACGGCGACCTATGAAGTATTTGACGACCTATGAAACTGTAACAACGAGGGAAGAGATAAGAAATGCTGCAATAGAGGCTTTGTCGCAAAGAGTACTTGACGACTTATGGAGCATTTGACGATCAATAAGATCACTGTAGCAAACACTACATTTCAATAAATAATTTAGTTAGAGACTTATATGAGTAAATTTTTTTTTCTAAAGCCCTACATGGGCGAGGAAGCCAATAAAAAGATCATGCCAGTTGCTGCTTGTGGTAATAAAAAATTGTATGAATTGCAGGGGGAAACAACTTCAATGTTGCTTGTGGTAATAAAAGATCATGTCAGTTGCTGCTTGTGGTAATAAAAAATTGTTTGAATTGCAGGGGAAAAACAACTTCGATGCTGCTTGTGGTAATAAAAGATCATGTCAGATTTAATTTAATATTAATATAAAATTCTATATTTTATTAGTTTATTTGTTAAAACAAAAAATAATAATTTTAATAAGGTTAACAGAATTTGAATCTTTGATAAAACCGGGCAAGGGGCCAATGTGAGAAGCCAAATTAATTGGGAATTTTAACCAACTATAAACTCAAAATGAAGGCAATAATAGAAGTAGTTTGTTCTTTTTGCGGGCACATACTTTTAAAAAGGACTAATTTTGACACTAACTTTATGTATTTATGCATATATGGTTTAACTATGAATTCATCCCTCTACTTTACAAAAATTAAAAAGATAGTCTATTTACTTTGGTTTGTCAAAAGTTTAGTCTTCCTACGTTATGAAAAATTGTTGAATCGTTGCCTTTTTATTAATCCCTTTGTATGTAACTTGTTGAACTATTGATTTTAAGATTAACGATTTAATAATGTTTACCAGCAACTAAATTAATTTATCAATTTTTATAAAAAAAATAATCAAACTCTGAAAAATTAAAGGAAATAAACCGAATTCTTAATTTTCGTTAATAAGAGGGACAAAATTCAGAATTAATATATATATATATATATATATATATATATATATTGTCTAGTTGGAAAGGCAAAGATGATCACTAAATAAAAATTATGGTGAAAATGACTAGTGCCTAACAATTATCTTTTCCACTTCAAGGTTGCATAGTTTTCCCATTTTCTATTATATTATAGAAACTCTGACCCTCTACCACTCGTGAGGGACCATCATCTTCATAGATTATTTCGACAAATATGTTTTGAAATTAAAATTTATTTTAATTTTATGTTATTAAATTACATATATTCGTATTTTATTCGAATAATAAATAAAAGAATATGAACATTATATTAAATCATATCAAAGTATGGTTTCTAATTAAAATTTTAGGTCGAATTTGAAACAGATAAAATTATTATTAAACTCGGGTCCATGATTATGTTTTGCATGTTAAATCGTTGTTTTAGGGCAATTTAAAAGCTTATGTACATCAGAGCAGCAAAGAGGAATATTCACAAGATCATTCCTTCTACAATACATCTGCTTCCCATGTTTTTTCAGTTCTTCAAGTAAGTGGCTAATTAGTTTCATTATTATTATTATTATTATTATTATTATTATTATTATTATTATCATCATCATCATGATCATCATCATCATATAAACACTGTTTGAGCAACTTAATTAGCTGATGATTTTGAGCCTGGAATAACATATTCATCTTCTTCCCTCCTATTGCAAATGAAAGTGCATCTTTTCATGCACCAGTCCCCACTTGAAATATATAGTTTGAATTCATTCCCCTGAACAGACAGATAGATAGAATAAAATATTAGAGGGGTTAAATTGTTCAACTTCAAAAATAGAAGGGATCTAAGTTGTATTTAAACTATGAACACGAGATTAAGGCTTAATTTATCTAATTTCAAAATTGATAGGGACCCAATGAGTATTAAAAAAACGAAGGGATAAAGCTTAATTTAAATAATTTCAAAACTGACAGGGATCTAAAGTACAATTGAACCGAAAAAACTGGGAGGTCAAACTACAATTTAATTAATTTTAGAACTGATAGGGACTAATATACAATTGAACAAAGAGTTTGAGGTGGGGTATGACCCTCCCACACTCTCATGGTTTGTATATATGAAAATTTGAAAGGTGATGTAATTTTAAAGAAAGTTAGGATTAATTACACTAAACACTAATAAATAATCTTCAGATTTTAAATTGATATTTAAACTTTAGGTCTTATTATTTTAATTTTTTGATCAAATTGGACTTTAATTATTATAATTCTTGAATTAAAATATGTAATATATCTCATTCTTTTAAAATTAAACAAATTAATCCCTTTCATTGGTTAATCTCAATTCAGTCCTTGTTAAACTAGGAATTATTTATTGAGAATACTAACATGCAACCAGACTATAGGATTAGGTGTTGAACATCACTGGCACGATTGTCAGAAAATGATTATGGGGTCAGGAACTGGAGAAGAATGTGATGGAGTGGATCTCACTGTTGTGACAATGAATTCCATTAACATAACTAAATCTTACTTTAAACACCAAAGTGGGATTAGTGGGAGCATACCCCAACGTGCTTTTTGGACATTATTTCATGCTTTTATTTTATACGTTAATAGCCAGCAATCCACAACGATTGGCGTTTCCACTTTCCACTTGGAAGAAGAACAAAATTATTACAACTTATATCCATATATATGGAATAATTGTGTGGGACACCGTCACATTATGTATCTAAATTTTAAATTGGTCTTGAAATTTTAAAATGTTTTCTCAAAATATCAAATGAGTGAGTTATTCTGCTAGTTTAATTGTCAGCTTATATGAAAAATAACACTTTCTTTAACAATATATTTTTTAACTGAGTATGTGTGTTATCAATGATTAAAAAGGAATATGAACAAATATCACTTGTAATCACCCTATATTATTTAAAAAAATATTATCTCATTAAAATTACAATATATTTTTATATATAACTTCAAATGTCAAAATGGCCATGGCGAAATAACAAAAAATCGATTAAATCACTGATCGAAAGTAATATCAAGGAAATGACCATCCAGCTCAGTTGGTAGAGCACAAGGTTCTTAACCTTGAGGTCGTGGGATCGAGTCCCATGGAGGGTATTTCATAATTTGGAGGTCTCTTACGGAAGCTGCTCTAAACCTAGTGTTGTGGGCAGCCTACTATCTTACCTCCCCCTTACCCCATTACATATGGGAACAAGGGACAACCATTTTTATCGAAAGTAATATCAAGCTCGTAAATATATTTAATAGATTGTTAGGAGTTCAACCGAGAAAATGGTTTTAAGAACTTAATTGATTGTAATTTACAATTTAAAGAGTTCAACTGGGTGCTTTTTTATTATTAAGGTTTAATTATTATTATTATTATTATTATTTAAGCCAAATTTAATTTGAGTGTTTTAAATCCATTCTATATCATATATGAAATAACATTTAGTGTTTAATGAATGATTAGTCTAACAAAAGAATTTAAATAATATATATTTTGTATGATTATTTTAGTTTATATACTCATGATAAAGTTCAACAGATTGGACAGAGATATCAAAAAGATAATTTTAGTCATCCATAATGAATTTTTATATAATTCGATCTAGATTAATTGATAAATAGATTTGATATCAGTAGTTAATTAAAAGAAGAAGAAGATAATTTTAGATTATACATTC